TCTCTTTTAAAGATTTATTTATTTATTATGTATACAGTGTTCTGTCTGCTTGTATGCCTGCAGGCCAGAAGAGGGCACCAGATCTCATTACAGGTGGTTGTGAGCCGCCATATGGTTGCTGGGACTTGAACTCGGGACCTCTGGAAAAACAGCCAGTGCTCTTAACTGCTGAGGCATCTCTCCAGGCCCCCCTTGCTCTCTTTTAAATTCATGGCCTCCCTCTCTCTTCAATTGTGTGTATGTGTGTTTCTAAATATATGAATATGGTATGGTCATCCATAAAGCGTTAGTTCTATGTGTGTGTCTTCAACCTCACCATGGGGTACTGGGTGACCAGCTGGGGTGCTCTTCCCTGGGGAAGACTATTTTTCCTGTTCTCAATGTTCCTTAGTTGCTTGAGGCCTCATGAACTTTCCAATTTTTCTTTTTCTTTTTAAGCTTCTGTAGTTGAATAAACTTAAACAATTACAGCTTCTGTATCAAAGACCTTCTTAGAGCTTCAAACTGGCTCATGTGCATTATAAATCCAAGAGCAAATACAGCACGCAGTAGTTCTGATACTGCCTTTGAAGCATTTTTCTGGTTCTCAGTAGAATATACTGAAAACATGGTTTCAAGGCTCAAGATCAAGTTCTGTCCAATGAGCCAAAGAGCTCCTTCACTTCTGGAAAACCAAAGACACAGAATAATCACAGCATTTGTGCTATGTATGCATAAATTAGAACACTCTTTCAGAAACTCACAAAACATTTATTTCTAAATTAAATGCATAATCTCTTGGGAAAACCAAGGCTTGATACACAATTTGTAACTTCTCATCCTACTGACTGACTTTTATAAGATAAAGAAAGGTTTTTTTTTTTATTATTTTCTATTCCTAATATACACCTGTACTTCACTCCATTTTTTCTACAAATGCACAGCACCTTTGGACTGTATAGGAGGGTGAGCCCTCCTTGTGAATTCTGTGGAATATTCATTATACGCACTCATCTGCTCTAAACATCTGTTGCGAGGTTTTAATCTGCCTGCTATGGAATCTGTGTGTGGGAACAGTCCACATAAAAGAATCACTTTGCCATGTCAAAGTACATGCGTGCAAGCATGCGTGCACGCCCACACACACACCCCTACGCACGCCCACAGACATTGATTTTTAGGAAGACAATCCATAGCTTCCAATAGATTCTCAACTGGTTAAGATATACTGATCTACAACAATTTGCTACAAATGTTCCTAGCAAACTGATGTCCGAGTTCACAGGGAAAGAGTAAACCCAGTAGAGATCTCCATTACAGGTTATTTCTTTTGTTGTCATTTTTATTTTTGAGATAGGTCTTACTATGTGCTGGCAATCCTCCTGCTTCTGCCACCCGAGTGCTGGGATGACAGGAGTGTGTCACTACATCTGCCAACAGTAAACTGATGCCACAGTTCCTAATTATCCAAGTGCAGTAATAAATTCACACACAGACACCACACCGTGATACCTGCACCTGCAGGAAAAGGATAATCTACGCGACAAGTGACTCCTGTTCCATTGGTAAAAGGTGAATGCTAGCATTCTCAAACACTGAAGGCAAAAGAGGGGCCAACAACAGAGTTTCTGGGAGGTGCTTTACAAGGGTGGGAGCAATAGATCCATAAATGAAAATGGACCAGATGTTTAATAGTAACCAAGTTATTTTTCATGATTTAGATAATTATTCATAATGAAGAAATAAAAAGGCACATGCATTCTAAACAATCCACAAGTTAGCAACGGGGGGGCGGGGGGGGGGGAGACAAAGGGAATGAGAAAAACTATTTTATTACAACACAAAGACTGACAACAAACTGCAAAACAGCACAAAATGTTTTAGGTGGTTTTTGTCCATGAAAATCGGGATAAATTTTAACTGAAAATGGCTACGAAAGGCTGAGTGTGGTGTCTTACAACTTTAATCCCAGCACTCTGTGAGTTCCCAGATCTCGAGTTTGAGACCACTCTGGTCTTCAAAGCAAGTTGAAAGAGAGCCAGGGCTACATAGTAAAAACTGGATTCAACAAACAAAAAAGTAAATAAAAAAGAATGGTAGGGGTACAACAGTTTTCTAATTTTAAAAGATGTATGTGCATGTGAGTCTCTGTGCTTGTAAGAACACATGTGTGGTGTGTGCCACTGGACTATGGAGGCCAGAAGGAAGCATCAGATCCCCTGGAGCTGGAGTAACAGGTGGTTGGGAGCTGCTGGAGGTGGGTACTAGGAACTAAATTCTCAGCCTCTGCAAGAGCAGCAAGTGCTCTTAACCATTAAACCATCTCTCCAGCCCCAGCTAAACCATTTGTAACCATCAAGAGTCCCTTGGAATTTCTGAGTTAGCTGCTGTTCTGATTAATTTTATGTCAACTTGACACAAGCTGGAGTCATCTCATAGGAGGGAACCTCAACTGATAAATTGCTTCTAAAAGACCAGGCTGTAGGCAAGCCCATACATAGAGTATTTTCTTAATTAGTGACTGATGTGGTAGGACCCAGCCCATGGTGGGTGGTGTCACTTCTGTGCTGGTTGTCTTAGACACTATAAGAAAATAGGCTGAAGCCAGGTGTGGTGGCACACACTTTTAATCCCAGCACTAAAAAGGCAGAAGTAGGTGGAGCTCTCTGAGTTTGAGGCCAAGACTGATCTACATAGTTAGTTCTAGGATAGCCAGGGCTATGTAGACTCTGTATCAAAAAACAAAACAAATTAATAACAGTAACAGCAACAGCAACAACAACAAAAAGCAGGCTAAGCAAGCAACAGGGGTCAAGCCAGTGATCAGTGTTCCTCCATAGCCTCTGTATCAGCCCCTGCCTCCAGGTTCCTGTAGGCCAAATAAACCTTTTCCTCCCCAAATTGTTTCATAATAGCAATAGTAACTGTAACACAGCTAACATCTAAGAAAAATAATCTTCCTTCAAAATGTGAACCATATTTGTTGAATATGATTATGAAATACTGAGCATAATACTAGGTCTTAGTTTAAGATTATAAGTCACTAGATCACAGTCTAAGCTATGGTTTTCAACCTTTATTTTGGTCTTGGGAGCCTAGAAGTCATACACAACAGAAGAGGCAGTGGGACTTCTACTCAGTAGACATGCACTGGGTAGAGGACAGTAAGAAGGAAGAGATAATGGAGGCTCCAGGGTTGAGCCACTAGTAAATATGCACAAAAAAGCAATGTTTGAAACAAGTGGAGAATAAACAGCTGGAAGAGGTAGCTCACACCTGAAATTCCAGCACTTGGGAGACAGAGGCAGGAGGACTGCTGTAAGTTCCAGGCCATATTGGGCTACTATGTGAAACTTTATCTCAAAACCAAACAAACAAGTAATACCACCACCCACCATCCAAAACGGTGAGTGTGTGTTGGGGGGGGGGGGGAGGGGAGATGGCTGAGCAGGTAAAGGCATCTGCTGTCAAGTCTGGAAACCCAAGTTTGATTCCTGGAACTTACATCTAGGAGGAGCGAAGTGACTCCCTCAAGTTGTCCTCTGATCACCACATACACACACACCCAAACACAGCAAATAAATAAGCAAATCAACAAATAAGTAAATGTGAGAAAAATATGTAGACACAGAAGTACAGAATATTGCAGCAAAATGTAATTAATTATGAGAGCACTACATTTTGTCCTTTAATTTGTTAAGTCATTTTCGTAGTCTGCTCCTGACAGAAGATGAAGTACCATTCATACTAGCAATGACACCATTGCTAGTGTCTTTTAGAACTAAGTCTTAGATTAAGGCTGGTCCTGTTGCTTTAGGGTGTAAAAGCTCCTAAAGCCTGTCTGTCACTCTATCAGCAACTTTGACCTCACTATTAGAGGTTAGGTAAGAAGTGTTTGCATGGCTCCACGAAGCTGGGTGGTATGTAGACTGATCTCTTTTCTGGCTCACTGGTGCATCTATAATTTCTATGTGACTGCTGTTACCAGGTTGTTTATAGAGAAAACAACCCACTGAGGAAATCAACTGCTTTGCTCTCTTCTATCTCTTATTCTAGTGGGATATGGATACTCACTGAGAAAGAAAAGCAGCAAAGTGGGTTTATATAAGGAAAAAAAGAGGGGCTGGAGAGCTGGCTCAATGGTTAAGAGCACTGGCTTCTCTTCCAGAGGACCCAGGTTCAATTCCCAGCACCCACATGGCAGAACATAACTGCCTCTAACTCCAGTTCCAGGGGATCCAATATCCTCACACAGACATACATGCAAGCAAAGCTCCAATGCACATGGAATAAAAATAAAGTAAAAAACAAAACAAAAAAAATACTAATTTAAAAAGAAAAAGAAAAAAGACTTCTTAGATGCCCTCAGAAGGGAAATAGAAGGGCCTAGAAACAAGGCCTGAGAAGAGGTGGCTGCAAGCCTGTGTTGGCATGCTTCTGTACATTTCTGAGAACTTCCACAAAACATCTCTTGTGGGCTCTGAATTAGGGCATAGTAAATTAACAAGTGAAACAGGATGAGGCGGGTTAGACTATCTGGTGAATGTTCCTAAAATTCTGCAGGCTGATGTGCAAATGAACTCAGAGATCCACCTGAGCCTGCCTCCTAAGTAAGTGCTGGGATTAAACGCCTGTGCCTCCAAACTGCCCAAAGTTGATACTTCTTAGTCTCTAAAGACACCATCAGGTGCAGCTTCCCAACCACCAAGGATTACCACCATGGAGAAGCCAACAGAGCCTCTCATGATGCCTTCTCTTACTAGGTAACTCACCCAATATCTTGCTGAAAACTGAGGAGATATAAAAAAATTAATTTCTAAGGAACATATTTTAAATTTTGAAAAAAATTATAGTCAACACTGTACCTTAATTGGACCTGCACTGTGAAGTCACATTTGGTCCCAGAAATATCCCTAAAATAGAATAAGAATAAAAATTATTTTTAAATACATACAGGAAGACATGTCACTCCATTCCTAAATACCAGAATGTTAACAACAGTGTGCGTGTGTGCCAGAGAGAGAGAGAGAGGGAGAGAGAGAGAGAGAGAGAGAGAGAGACAGAGACAGAGACAGAGAGAGAGACAGAGACAGAGAGACAGAGATGCTGGAGGCCAGACCCATTTACTACAGTTGGTCCTGGGCTGACAGCAAACTGCAGGTCAGATGGAAGATGACTTACATGGAGCTGCTGATCTGCTGCACCTGTTGTGGAGTCAAGGCAAATGCAAAACAGGTTTCCCGAAAGCGCTGGCTGTTGTCTGACGCTGAAGAAGAAAAGAGTTACATTTTAATAACCTTCAAGTTCATCAGAACAGAAGACAATAGCCAGAATCACATCGTTAATTAACTGGAGTATATCGTAGAGACCAGACAATGAAAGCACGGAGAATTAACAAATATGCTAGATGTAATACATCAGACAGGAAGATACAGAGAGGCCTAATTCCAGAAATAGCACATTAGAATTCAAATTCAGAGAGTACATAGCAAACACTAACCAAAAGTTGTCTAATTATATGCACATTTCTATAACAGCATACTGACACTAATTTCATTTAAAATATAATTACATAAATTCATTTAAATATACATAGTTTCTGAGCTAAGAAACAAATGTACCTGCTTTGAGATCTGCACAGGTGAAATTGCATTTGGTTTTTGAAGTAAACGAAAACTTGTATTGTCTCCTGCTTATACTAGGCTTATTTGTTTGTTTTGAGATAGGGTCTTGCCATGATGCTATGTAGCCAAGGTCAGCCTCAAACATAATCCTCCTGTGCCTCTATATTGAACACTGTGATGATAGGTGTGCCCTCCCACACCTAGATACTACACACATTTTATACAAAATCACATACAGTTTCTCTTACTCTTGGATAAGTTCACTTCTCAAAGAAGGAACAAGGTTTAGGAGAAATACAAGTACGAAATAAAAAGGAATGGGGTGGGGGAGTGGGAAGGAAGTCAGCAATCAGCCAGGGAAACACTTGTCACTGTAGAACAGGGATTTGCCAACTATGCTGAGATTAACAACAGATCCACTGGCTTTCCGAGAGACATTCAGGCACACAGAAGTGAAAACACACCACACACACACACACACACACACACACACACACACACACACACACCCCCCACATACACACAGTGTCTGGGTGTCAAGCACTGAATGACTATTTGTGGAGTATATAAATAAATTGTAGGCATTAAGAAATATCAAGGGCTAGAGAGATGGCTCAGAGGTTAAGAGCACCGTCTATTCTTCCAGGGGTCCTTCCCAGCACCCACATGGTGGCTCACAACCATCTGTAATGAGATCTGGTGCCTTCTTCTGTATACATAATAAATAAATAAATCTTAAAAAAAAAAAAAGAAATAGCAAGCCTGGGGGGTATGGCTTCATTGGGAGGTTGCTTGCTGGCAAACCCCAGTACCACATGGACTGGGAGTGGTGGCTCACATGGTAATCTCACTACTCAGGAGACGGAGGTTCAGAAGGTCAAGGTTATTCTCAACTACATATTGAGTTTAAGGTCAGTCAGGGCTACAGGAGATTCTGTCTTTCAAGGGAAAATTTTAAACTGCATTTTTCCAAGGTAATTTTCTACAACAAAAGAATCACTAAGAGTTATTACCAAGGAATTTTGGCTGTGGGCTATCTAAGACTGCAGAGAAGCTAATTGTTGGCTAATTTCAATCTCTTGCTTAACCAGGTTTGTTCTCTTGCAAGCAGCATTTAAACCACCTCAACTGCAGCATGTCTCATCGAAAAATCTGCACAACTACCACTATGAGAAAAAGCAATGGAAAAGAGCATGGGTCTAAAATTACATCTCAATGCAGGAGCAGCATCTTTTAAAGGCTAGATTTGCATTTCTACTTCATGTGTGGGGAGAGGCTTATTCCAGGCTTTTTCTTAAAGAATCTATCACCAAGGAACGGTTGCTAACCAGAAAAAGTTACTGCAATTTCAAGTGACAATCTGGCAATGACCAATAACCAAAGAGCAGCATGCAGGAAAGCAAACATTGCCCTCTGTCAGCAACCCAAGCAGCTAGCTTTCTTTCTCAGAGGATCCTGTACAGAGATTTTTTTGCCCAGCAGGCCTGGCCTAATTTAAATCTTTGGCTCCACTTGAAAACAGTGCTAAAATGTCTCCCAAGAACAAAAATTCATATTACTCACTAGGCAAAAATTTAGATTCACTTTCAAATATATGACTATTGTGAAGTTTCAGATGTATACAGATTTAGAAAGACAAGATGACTGCTAAAAGAATATGGCCGCTTCTTCCATGATTTAAAATCTGCAATGCTGTGGATTCTACTCACTGGTGCCATAAAGCACTGGCCTAATCTCATTATCCACAACAGCCATTTTTCAAGTATCAGGAAACATGGACACCTTCCCCTTCCCATCAGCCATTTTTCTTGACATACCCTAGGCTGTGACACTCGATTAAAAGGCCATCATAACTGAACACACTCTTTCACAGCATTTATTATTTGTTCTAAATCTCTGCAGCCCCTCTGCACTGATTGGCCCACCTCCATGGGAGAGTTATGCTGCCTTGTGCAAATGACATCATCCTTCCCTCGATGAAGTGAAGCAGCCCTCTAAGTTTCATCACTTTTCTTTCCCTCTGCCTTGATCCCAGAGGGCAGAATATGAAGCACATCACAGCCAGTAACACATGGAGAAGCAAAGCTCAGTTTTCAACCACCAACGTCGGTCACTTTTTGATACTACAGGTAGACCATGACCAGAACACTACAATTACTAACAGTTACCATCACTGTTTATTATTGGGACAATTTCTGAACATCTTTGAGTTTATAGGTTAATTTTTGGGAAAGAGGAAGCAGCTTATTTCTGTCAATCAATTCAGAGCTGTACGATTTCACAGTTAAAAAAGTATGCTCATGGAATGCAGAGATGGTTCTGTGGGCATAGTGCTTGCAGGAGCCGATTTAACTTCCCAGAGCTCATGTAAAAAGCCAGGCATGCTGATAAACTGTTGGCATGCACCTGCAATCCCGGAGCTGAGATAGGCATAATGATCTCTGGGGCTTGATGACCAGCCTGCTCAGCTGAACAAGGAAACTTCAGGCTCAGTAGGAGACTCTGCCTCAAAAAACAAGGTGGAGGGCAACTCCGTCTCTTTCCCTGCCCTCCCAACTCCAACAGTTTCATGAATAATAATACAAGAGTATTAAGTAGCTGTGTTAATATAACAGTCCACAACAGTTTATTCATCTAGTAAATGCCTTTATTCTTGTCAGCAAAGGAGTTGCCGCTAATTTAATGTGTCGCTCTCAGTAACTACTTAATAGTTTAATTTACATTTAATTTTTTTCTATGCTTGTTAAAAACTTTTTATTTTGTCTAATCTGGTTCTATGCCTATTTATATGATTTTATAAGTGAAAATATTAAAGCCCTTGGAAATTTGCTACAGATATTTCTTAGAATCTGGTAATTGCCGCCCCGCCCCCCCATTTTGGCTGCATTTTTGGATGGTATAAAAGTTAAATCTGGGGGCTATAGAGATGGTTCAGTGGTTAAGAGCACTAGCTGGGAGTCCAGAGGTCCCAGGTTCGATTCTCAGCACCCAAATGGTAGCTCACAACTGTCTGTAACTCCAGGGGATCTGACATCTACACATAAAAATAAAGTTAAATTATTAAAAAAAAAAAAAGTCAAATCTGGGCCAGAAAGATGGCTCAGCAGTTGTAAGTGCTTGCTGAGCAAGTCCAATGACATCATTAGTTCTCCAGAACCTATGCAAAAGCAAGATGTGGTGGTGCATGTGTGGAGTCCCAGAATTCCTGTGGGAAGATGGAAAGTGCAGTCAGGAGACTCTCCCAGACACTCAAAGGCCAGCCAGCCTAGAAAACACATGCAGAGGCAAATAAGAGAGATTCTGCCTCAAACAAAGTAGAGGGGGAAAACTCATATCAGAGATTGTTCACTGACATCCATGAGTGATACAATATACATGAACATGTATACACACATATCATACACTCACAAAAATAAATTAATATTTGAAGTTAAATTTTTATATGGTTTACTCTATTAGCCATCTCCTTTGTAAATTCTTATGCTAATTAAGATCAGTACACAAATTCTTTTATTTATTGTTTCTATATAATTATTTACACATTTGAAACTTATTTTAGTATATGATAGTAAAAAGTTAAATTTCTATTACTTCAAATTGCTTACAATTATTTGTTAAATAATTCAGAATTTCAAGCCAGGCATGGTGGCACATGCCTTTAATCCTAACATTTGGGAGGCAGAAGCAGGCAGATATTTTTGAGTTCAGGGTCTGCAGTGCTCCCAAGAAACAAATCCTGAGATTGACCCACCCCACCTCCCCAGAGAGAGAATAAAAAGAACAATCCAATTTAAAAATGGGCAAAGAACTTGAACAGACATTTCTCCAAGCCATGCATACAAAAACCCAATAAACACACAAAAGATGTTCAATGTTACTATTCATTCAGGGAATGTCAATCAAAACCTCAATGAGGTAGTACTCTTTAATCTATTAGGACAGCTCTATTAAAACAAAACTAAACCAGTCCCTCCTAAAGAAACAAATCCCATCCCAACAACAACCAAAATAATTATCACTGGAAATTATCCTGTGTCTGTACGGACATGGGAAAACTGGCATTTGTTTACATTGTTGGTGGGAATGTAAAATAGCTGCTGCCATGCAGCCAGTATGGAATAGTTTGGTGACACAGAATTGCCATATGGTCAAGTAATTCTACTTCTAGGTGTGTACTGCACAAAACAATTAAGAGTAGGGACAGAGAAAGATACCCGTACAAAGGTCGTAAGAGTGGGAGACCTGGGGTTGGGGATTTAGCTCAGTGATAGAGCGCTTGCCTAGCAAGCACAAGGCCCTGGGTTTGATCCTCAGCTCAGAGAAAAGAAAAAAGTGGGAGAGCTGTCCTTGTCACTCACCAGCTGCAGCACTCGGGAGAGTGCCCCCTACACGTCACCTGGGCAACACAGTAGAGCTGCCCTGAAGGTGTGCGTGTGGGGAGCTGACCCTGAGGATGTGACAGCAGGAGAACTGGCCCCGCCCCTTGCTCATCACTGTAAGGGGTGAACTAGCCAGGGCCATGATGGAGAGCTCACCCTGGTGGTGAGGACGGGAAAGCTAGCAGAACTGACCAAACCTGCAACTACCCAGGCCCAGAACCAAGTTATGAGTTGGCCCATCCCAACATTCACCCATCTATGAT